ATGTGACAGTGGTGCAAAACAATATGGAAATAGTTTAAGTACTCTGGGTAAGTAGTAAACATCCATTACAATCTATAAAACATCTCTTTTCTTAAATTAAAAGAGACTAATTAATAAAGTTCATCCACTGCTACTTTTCATTTATTTCATTGAGTACTGGACTGAGGTCTCGAAGAAGGAGAAATTAAAAGATATGAAAAAATTCAAGTTCTTTCAGAATTTCTCTGTGTTCACAGTATCCACAGAGTTTGGTAACACGTGGCTGATTAACCGGATGGGATCCTGTCACGTAATCATGTATCGCTATTACAATTACAGTAGGCCAATGTATTCTCAGGAAGCATATTACATCCATGCTTCATGTTGCTCTTATGGTACATTTCATTATTATTCCTGGAAACAATAGGGGTAGTATCCAGATGCTCAATCATGGAATCATCTGGCAAATTGTAGAGCCAAGATCACCCAACTTGTTCTGTGTTCACTAAGGCATCTCCCTGGCATTTTGATATTAGTTGCCCCTGTGTAAACCTAGCGAAGTCAGATGTATTGCAGAACTGTAACTGAAGAAAATGTTTTATCCCAATGTGAGAAAATCAACACTTTGGCAGATATAAATTGACTTGAAGAGGAGGTGAAAATAGAGAGAGGTTGTCTAGACACGGAATATATTTCTGATTTTAGTTGCTCTGTGTCAAGTTTAAATTCAAAGCTCTTGCTCTGACAAGTGGAGCTGTATAACTTTACTATTTTTATTTAATACCATTTTACATTCTAAAGCTATGCATATTCCCCTTTTTGCAGAGAGGGTCAACTGTCACATCTACAAAAAGAAAAGCAAAATTAGTCACAACTCAAATCGCATACTTCATTACAAACTCAAAAATCAGACTGCTGCCAAGAAAAAAATATGCTTGAGGATATGATTTCTTTGATGAAAGAAACCTGTTTTCCAGAGAAAATTAGTGTCTTTTGAACACCAGAGAATATTTATAATTTAGCAAGTTTACTTGAAGCCACTGGTCATGTTAAGCCATTGGTGCACTGTGGTGATAATGCAGAAGAACTGAGACTTTATCAGATTCTTAAAATCAGACTCGGCATGCTCAGAAGTAGCAGAAGTAGTTTTTTCAATGAGATGCAACTATGTCATATGTTTTTGCTCCACAAACGTAATAAGAAGGCCACTTCTTAATAAAGATTATGTACACATCAAGTTTGGCAGAGAAGGAAGTTGTTTAGTTATTTGGGGGGGAGGAAGGGGGAAGAAAAATAATAATATGCTGGAAAAGTGTCTGCTTTCCCCCAAGCTTCTAATGACTCAAGAATACCTGATGGAATTATCTTCAAATTTGCTAATCCTCTTCCCAAAAACCTCAACTCTGAAGTCAAAGGAGATGTAGTGTTTCATAGAATCATAGTTTGAAAGTGGATGCTTAAAAATGAAAACCCCAGTGTCAGTGGAATTATCTTACTATACTCATAATATAGTACAAACTGGACAAGAGATTATATGTAGTTAGGGTCGCATTAAGTGTTGAATGCTATCAACACAAATTGAAAAATTTCAGCTGAAATATGCAAGACTACAAATATTGTCCCAGTACTATTCCTCAAACTGCCAACTGCAATATAAGCCTTCATGCTATGCTAATTATTATGTTATTATTTATGAAAGCTTCCAAAAAGAAAAGCCATTCTAGATACTTTGATTTTTCATGCCCAATCTGAAACAGTTGAAAGAGAAACAAAAGCCCACCTTTAGTAACAATGTTAATATTCAATGACACCCAGAGCCATCCAGTACAGTACTTCCTTTGAGATGTGTGAATTTGAATTCAAATACTACTTGCACCTACTCATTCTATTCACAGCTAGTCTTATGTTTCTCCCTTTTCTCCTCACCACCATTTGAGTAATTTGGACTTAATTCCTGCCTACACTGATGTAAATGCCAAGTCAAGCTCTGGAAATCAAGTGTTGATCCAGCTTTTCTAGGCATAAGATAAGATCTCCCAGAATGGGACAAGATGAACCATGAAAATAAGGGGCTTGGTTTAATTTCAGTGTCAGTCAATGTTAGCTGCTCCAGCATTAAGATATCAATACAAAGGAAAAGTGGTTTGTGCATATGCCAATCCCCGAGTAAAACGGTCAAGAACACGTCAACTTTAGCAATTTTCAGTACCCATAAAGAATGACAAACTGATCTTACAAGATTTTTTAATCTTGTTGGCTATATATAGCATTTGAATAAATAAGAGTATGCACTGGATGCCACCAAGTGGCAGTTCTTATCACATACCAATAACAGTGCCATTATTCCATACTAGGCTGACACTTCAGCAGCGGCAAATATTGATTTCAATATCATGTGTTAATGTCCTGATACAGCATTTTATTGGGAATAGCATTATACTGCTGGAGAAAGAGGAAAAAAATATCCCCCAAGGATTACGTTTGATTCCTACTGTCAAATGCAAAGCTAAAATTGACTTCAATAAAACCAAATTTTAGACCTTCCTCTGCAGCCCTTGAGAGGATTGATCCTGCAGAACCCCTCCCCACCCTTGCAGAATATGGGGACTGGACAAAGGAAGGGCACCTGTTTTACCCTGCAGCATTCTGATCCATCAAGAGGGCTTCCTTGTGTTCTATTGTTTAAAGAAAAATAGGAAGAGTTATGAATCTACTATCCTCACCTTTGCCTTAAAAAAAATCTACTAGCTACTCCTTACCTACAAAGAGGTGTTAAATCAGCTGCAAGGAGCATGGGTCACAGCAGCCTTTTCAGAAAGCTCTCTCTCTCCACATAACCACAAAGCCCAGCCACTGTTACTTGTAGGTAGAACTGGAAAATGTACTGAGATATAGTAAAGACGAATGCCTTAAAAAGACAACAAATGGGATTTCAGTAGAGGATGCAATGATATGATGTAATATTTTAGATTATATAATTTGTAATTTTCATTCCAGGCAGGTAATTACAAACATAAAGAGAAATAATGGAGCCTTCAGGCATTTTGCATTCTTTAAACAAGCTCTCAGATTTACCCAAGATAACAAAATAGCTTAACTGTGAACTTTTATTAAAACACAGTTTAAAACTTGATTTCTGACTACGTGTTGGTTCTTGTTCATTCATGCTGTTTTTAAGCAGTTTGGATTTGAATATAACCTTTTGAATTTTCTCACATCTTAGCCCCAATTTTCCCAGGGAAAAATGGTTATTTCAGTACCTTACAGGTACTTAGTGTGGGACAATGAGCAGTATGTCTGTAGCATCCCAGAGAATAAGGCTAAAAACAAACAAACAGTTTACCCTGGGACAAAATATATATATATATATATCTCCTGCAATCCTATGTGCTTATTGTTCCACTTCAAATACCGTGAAATATCCAAGAAATATTTGGATATTTTGCCCTGGGATAATCAAGGCTGTTTTGATTCAAGTCAACATCTGGTACAGTCAGCAGGTTGTCTGTTTTTAGCCTAAGAAACAAACTCACAAGGATGGGGTAAATTAGATGACTGGCAATTAAATATGATCTGAGAAGCAAAATAGTTAAGCTACCAATAAATGTGGGGGGGAAGAATCTGATGTAATTAAGGTGAGAATAAGCTTCAAGTGGGAAAGAGAAAGTTTTGCTTTTTTGTAGATCACTGAAAACAATAGATACAAAAAGAAAACATATAGCAATGTGGTGAGGTACATGACTTGTATTTATAGTTTCAACAAGAAGCACAAAACAAAAAATACACCCCAGGTGTGGAGCAAGGAACCTGGTAAGAGAACTCTTCCTGTCATATCTTAGTCCAATAGTGCTCTACCTATAGCCCACAGGCTGACTCCAGTCCACAAGGCTCCCCATGGGGGTGCAACTGTAAATGCTGTAGCAATTAACACTGTCACCTCTCCCCCACTACCAAATTTCCAGATCTGTGGGGACTGCCTTGGGCTGGATGATGCATACTGACAATGGCCAGATCTGAAACATGGGGTTAGGGCAGCATAGGGCCAACTCTACATGCTGGATTACACCCACAAACCAACCTTATTGCACCGGATCAGACCCACAGACTGGACGGGTGAAGCACCACTATCTGAACCAACAGTGGCAACCTGGATAGCATACAGCTCTAGCCTAGTGATGTTGGCCTTTGGTCAAGATTTTCTTTCAATTGTTAATACATTCTTTCAACTGTTTAATACATTATTTGGTCTATTCTGCTTTTAACTAGAATATCCTGAAAGTGTGATTGATAAGTTCTTCATTAAGGGCAATTTATCTTTGTGGAAATTAGAACTGGTCTAGATTGTTGGCCACCTTGACCAAGGTCAAGACAAGGTTGACCAGGAAGCCCTGGGTAGGGTTGCTGACCCCCTAGGATTGCCCTGGAGCCTCCAGGAGACTGCTGAGAGGCACCTGGGAACTAAATGACACAACATTCATTAAAATAAATATTAAACGTTGGAGCTGATTTATACAGTAGTACAGTGGGTTTTTAAAATGTAATAGCAATGTGTATTTGCCTTTCTGCCCTTAAGTCCGCTACACACTGTGATCCGTAGCTGACCTCCGCGAGCAGGCGGGCGTGCTGGCCGCCCAGAAACCTCCCGCAACAGTCGGGGCCGGCAGCCCTGGGCCCGGCCGGGGGCCTCAAGGACATGGTGCGGGGCGCGGTGCAGCCAGGCCCCCCGCGGGGCCGCCGGTGGGGTCACCGCCCCAGGGGCCGAAACGCGGGTGGGCGTGAAGGAGGCCGCCCCAGGGGGTTGGTCCCTCCGCAGGGTCTGGGCTTCGCGCGAGATACAACGCGGGAACCAAGCCGCTGCTCTGCCTTCAGCCTTAGCTTCCTGGGCAAGGCGGTAGCACCCCACGCTTGTTCGCAGCCCGGCGTAACGCGCTCCCAGACTAGCGGCGCTGGCACGAGCCAACCAGACCCCGCCCCGGCTCCTCCCAGCCCAGTAGACCAGACAGCAAGACTCCTCCGCGCGGGCAGGACCCGCCCCCGGGGCGGGGCTCGGTCTCCATGGGAACCGGGTGAGAGGGCTGCGCGCCGCCGCCATGATGATGCTGGGCCGTGGGCCGGACGCCAGGTAACGGCAGCTGCTGCCCCTCCCGGCGCCCGCGGCTGCGGCTGCGGGGCCCTGGGCCGGGAGTGCGGGGCCCGCCGGCCTGAGCGTGTGCGGCACGGTGGGCTCCCCCTGTGCCCCCCGCGGGGCTCGGACATGGGCCTTGGGGCAGTATCGAGGCCGGCGGCGGCAGCTGAATCCAGGGCTCCGCCCGGGCTGGGCCTTCCTCGGGGCCCGGGAGGGAGGACACCCACCCCCGCCCCTGCTTCTGGTTCAGGGAGGGGCTGCATCATTTCCATTTGCTGCAAGTTGGAGTTTTGCTAATGGCTCCAGCAAGTGACCTTTAGGGAGGCATTGGTGCTCTGGAGGTCGAAGGGGGTCTAAGGGAGCTTTCAAGAGACCGGGGTCATTTGAAATCTGCCGCCTTTGACAAACTGCTTCCTGCTTTAGTATCACAGCCTCCTCCTGTTGCAGGTTTGTGGGTTGTTCTTGGTTTTACGCTCGGGACTTCCACATTGTTAAACACTGAAGTCAAAGAGGAGTTTTCGTTTGTCTGCCTTCTTTTAAGTTGGGTGTTGTCACTCAGGATGCAGATGCACAACATTTTTAGTGTGTCTGTGTCTGTGTGTGTGTGTGGCAGATCAGGGAGGGAACAGGCAACAGAGCAGGGAGCACAAAGCAGAACATCTGGTTGGGCAGGAAAAAGGGATCAGAGTGGCACTCAGGAAGGGTTTGGTCCCCACTATCCTAGTAAATGTCAAAAGGCATGGAAGCCTTTTGCTCACTACAAGCTGAGTCTCCTGCCACCTAGTTACCAGGTTCCGACCTTGTGCCTCGGTCCTTTAACAGAATTGACTGCAGGTATTTAGTTCATGAGAGCTGTTTGCATGTCCACTTACTGCTATGTAGTATATTTACTGTGGAGTAAAATCCTGGATGATTTACTCTGTAATCCACTCAGACTTCTAAAACATTAGAGCAGGAGTGCTCCATCCCCAGCCCATGGGCCAGATCTGGCCTGCAGAATGGTGTCATCCAGACTGTAGGGCTCCCCAAGGGTCTGGAAATTTGGTAGTAGAGAAGCAGTTGCTGTATTAATTACTGTTACCCTGCTGCCAATTTTTCCAACCATGGGAAACCCCCACAGGCTGGATAACATCACCGTGCATGCCAGATTGGGCTGGCTCATGACCAGATCAGCTAGTATACAGGTCAGATTGTGGGTGGGCAGGTCCACATTAGGTAGTGGGGGTCGAGATTTGGGTGGTGCATGGCTAGATCTGATAGCACAGTTCTAAACAGGCAGTGCACAGTTAGATCTAGTGGCACAGGTCCAGATTACGTGGCATGCAGCCAGATTGGGAGGTGCAAGTGTGGATTTGGGGTAGCATGGGTCCGGATTGGATGGTGCTTAACTAAATTGGGTGCCACCGGTCTGGATCAGGGTGACATGTGGCTGATGTGGGTTCAGATTGAATAGTATGTGGCCAGATCAGGAAGTATGGGTCCAGATCATGGTAGCACTGGTCTGCACTGGGGCAGCGCATGGCTGGATCTGGAGATGCAGGTCTGGATCACGGCAGCATGGGTCCAAATCGGGGCAGCATGTGGCCAGATTGGCTGGCATGGGTCTGGATCAGGGCAGTGTGTGGCTGGGTTTGGGAGGCATGGGTCCAGATCAGGGTATGTGGGATCTGGCCCACAGACCAGCCCCGTGCCACTGATCTGGCCCACAGAGGCAAAAGGTTGGACACCACTACAGGCAGTCCTCGGACTTATGACACAATTGGTCCCTGAAAACTACATCATAAGTTGAAACGTTGTAACTCAGAACCAATTTTCTCATAAGAAACAATGCTATAAATGGGGGATTGGTTCCTGAACCAAGGCCCGATACCTTATTTTCACCAAAAATACCCCAGAATTTTGTACTCAGTCAATTATAGATGAGTAATATAGCTACATTAATATATTTATATTGTAAATAGCAATCATATTGATTTGGAAGGACATCTTTGAGGTGACGTTGCTGGACTTTTTGAAGGGCTCTTGGTTGGATTTTTGAAGGGTTCTTGGCTGGAAGGTTTTTTCTGTAGTCTTATCTGCTTTCTTAAAGAATGTGTCTAAGGAAGTTTGGACAGATGTTCTCCAGGGAGATGAGTGACGCAGCAAATTTGTTCATTGGTGTGGCATTGCATCGGGTCAAGCGTTGTAAGTCGAAACTGGCATTGTAAAGTGGAAACAGGGTGTCAATTTATAAACGTTGTAAGTGCGAAACGTTGTAACTCGAAATGTAAGTTGAGGACTGCCTGTATATTAGAGTTTTATTTCATACCATCAGAAAAAACATTTCAAATAAGTAGTGTGGTTTTGATTATGTTTAATGTTTGTTTTCCTACTTTCCAAACTAATTAAAACTTGGCAATTCAACTACAAATCTGTCCTGATTCTTAACTGTGCAGTTGCTATGGTCAACTCTGTAACCCCAAAGAAAAAAAGATGGATCTTTGATCTTGGTAGGTTTACTTTCTTCTGTTTTCAGCTTCTATAACTTTCAGATTTCATGGCCAAAATCAAGAGTCTATCCCTTCTCAACAAGTCCCCTAGAAAGTACACTAGGTTGTTAACCATTGGACTGGGTCACTAGTACCAAAGTTTATGAAGTCAGAAACTAAACTTTCTATAGACCCTGGACAAATCACTTGACTTCAGTAAGATTAATCTTTAAAATTAAGGTAATGTGTGTTTGCAGGATTTGGACTTTAACCTGGCTGGCACACATTTTTAAAGGTATTTAAGTACTTCAAAACCTGTAGGTTTGTCTCTGTTCTTCAAGACAGGAGTGCTCAATCTCTGTGCTGCAGGCCAGATCCAGCCTGAGGTATCATGTCATCTGGCTGGTAGGGCTCTCCTCAGGGCTGGAAATTTGGGAGTGGAACTGATGGTGCCCCTCCCCTGCTGCCAGTCTCTGGTCCCATGGAGAGCCATAAGCCCTGTATGTTGAATCTGGTACCCAATCCCAGCACATAGGGCCAGGTGGGGGAGCACTGGGTTCCAGGATCTGATCCCAGCGCACAGGGATTGCAAGGGGTTGGTGCTGACCCCCAGGACCCAATCCTAGAGCATGGGAGGAAGTGGTGCTAGGCCCCCAAGATCCAGTCCAGCCCATGATGGGCCCTGTGCCTCATCTGGCCTGCGGGCTCAAAAGTTTGAGTGCCACTGCTTTAAGTGCTCTAATATACCTTTAAAAATCTTGTCTTGTTGCCTACTTTCCCATGCCTGTTGTCTGAGTTGTTTATTTATAAACTCTTTGGGAAACAGACTGTCACCATATGGTAATGTGTTGTGCCTGGTATGATAGGTTTTTTTACCTTTGACTGGGGAATTTTATCTATTACTGCAGCAATTCCCAAACTCTGACAGACTGAGTACCATCAATTTGATACAGCTTTAAGTACCACCAGCAAATTTTTCATACACATAGGTAACAGACTATGTATTAAAACAACATCAAAACCTTTAATAATCATAAAACATTGTTTTAACAGTTATGGTAGCCATATAAAACAGTTGTAAATTGGAAAAAAAAGCAGTGTAAATAAATTTACCCATCCAGAGATGCTTTTGGGGATGTCTTTAGTGGGAAGGTATGCAGGGCTGTAGGGGTGTGTGTGGGGTTTGGAGCCTGGGGGTGGAGGGGGTCCACACACACCCTGGCAGGATGCAGGGTACTATGGGTCAGGAGTAAGGGGCAGCAGGAGGGCTGGGAGGCTGTGGCTTGAGAGTAACAGACACGCACAGACAGACAGACTTACACATGCAAACGGACTTACACATGCAGACAGACATGCACACAGACACACACAGTGCCCAGTAGGTAAGTCTGTGGAGGGGGAAAGGTGGGGGAAGAGGGGCAGATCAAGGCCCCCACAATGAGGAAGTAGAGCAGGGGCAGGAGTGAATGGGACCCTGGGGTCAGGGTGGATAGTGAGACAGAGAAGTGGGTAGCTCATCCAGGGGCACTGGGAGAGGTGTGGCTCCCCACCATTGCACACACCCCATGGCAGGCATAGGGGGGCACATGCCCCCCAGATCTATGCATGGGGCAGAGGCTGGTGGCCTACTGCAAACTGGGCTCTGCACCACACTGCCACTGCCCTGGGAGCCTCACGCGATGCCATGTGCCTTCTGTGTCCTGGCTGCACTGCATCCCCAGCTCACCCAGTAGTGGCAGGCATATGGCGTTCCACACAGCTCCAGAGGCAGTGATAGCACGGTGCAGAGCACAGAGGCAGCCCACTGCTCCCAAGGGGTTTTCTCCCCTTGGACTGGCTGCCCCTGCCCCTGCGGCAGGGTTGGCACAAAGGTGAAATGGGCCTCTCCAGGGACATGGGGGGGGGGGGGGCCCCCCCGCTGGGGGGAGCCCCGGGGCAGGGAGGGGGGGCCGAGA